GGGCTTTTTCATCCGAAGCCTTCATCGACAACTGCAACAGCTGCACCAAGAGCAGTCGGCTGCATGCAAAACACAATTTATCGTTTACCGTTGGCAAAGACTCTCCAACAAGACTTTGAGCATCTACTTGATACAAAAGGTGGACTTCTCTCATTCAACAACTTCTTGTCTACTAATAAAAACCAAAACGTAGCCATGAGATTTGTTGGAAACGTAATAACAAAATATCAACACAACGTCGGCGTTCTTTTTACTATGACAATTGATCCGAGTGAAGAATCTATTTCGAATAGTCCATTCGCTCTTATCGATGATTACAGTGCTTTTCCACGAGAACAAGAAATTCTTTTTTCAATGAACACCATCTTTCGTGTCGGCGAAATCAAACAGGCGGTCAATAATAGTCACCTATGAGAAGTACAATTAATTCTCACAGACGACAATGATCCCCAATTGACTACACTTACCAAACACATACGAGAGGATATCGATGGCACTGGATGGTATCGAATGGGTAAACTGTTGCTTAAAATGGGTCGCTTTAATCAAGCTGAAGAACTCTACAATGCTTTACTTAAGAACATTACCACCGACAGTGCTAGAGCATGTATAGACTGTCATCTTGGATGGTTGAAAAATCGTCAAGGACAATACAAAGAAGCAGTTTCATTTTACGAAAAATCTCTTGAAATCGAGGCAAAAACTCTTCCTGAAGATCATCCAACCTTAGCTAGTACCTACACTAATATTGGTCTTGTGTATAACAACGTGGATGATCACTCGAAAGCACTTGAGTTTTACGGAAAGGCAAAGCAAATATTCGAAAAAGCTCTGCCTCCGAATCATCCAGAATTGGCTGGCTCCTACACCAATATCAGTTATGCCTATAACAACATGTGTGTTTACCCGAAAGCATTTGAGTTTCACGAAAAAGCAAATAAAATATTCTAGAAAGTTTTGCCTTCGAATCATCCCAATTTGGCTGCTTGCTACAACAACATCGGTGCAGTTTATTGTGGAAAGGGTGACTACTCAAAAGCACTCAAATTTTACGAAAAAGCACTTAAAATAAGAAAAAAGGCTCTACCTTCGAATCATCCCGCTTTGGCCCAATCTTACAACAACATCGGCATGGCGTTTTCCGGCAAGGGTGACTGCTTGAAAGCAGTTTCATATCTAGAAAAGGCACTTGCTATCCGACAAATATTACTTCCACCAACACATCCTTCAATTAAAAAAGTACTAGATAATATCGGCTACTTGAAAAAGAAAATGTGAATTCTTGGTTTTTTTCTTGCTTCCTCAATAAATAAGTTTTGATTGATATCTATTTACCTGTTCAGGTTTTCTCAACTTATTATCACAGATGCACTCACGACCAAGAAGATTCTCTGTAAGTCCAAAATGCATATATGCAAAGCGGATCACGCCAAACTGGTAAAGTAATGAACTGATGTATGACATACAATAACGACGACAAGAATCTATGAACATAAAGACTATCTTCACCATAACAGGCAGAAGTAATCTATTTTGGTAATGTTACGAAGCCACCACGAACGCTGCCATATAAGACGGTACCTCACTCTACAATTACTGCACAAGAACATAGTTATTATAAACGAAAAATAATTTAACATACAACAACAAAAATTTTCAACTTTCTTGTATTACAACGAACACATGCAAGTAAAATCTCAAAGAAAAAACTTATTCAATTCAAAATAAAGTGGACTCGGTTGTTTGTTTAATAACTCTGCAAGGCTGATAGCTATCGAATCGCGGTTTTCACCGTTAGACAGAGGGTGGCTGAGGGTACCTGTACAGCTGAGAGTCAATGAATTTTAAAAGTTTTATAGAAGTTGTGCAAGTGCTTTTTTATAAAACTCTGACTGACTCTTTTGACTAAATAGATTATTAATTTCAATTGAGCCAAATTGTAACCGAGTATCTGCTCTATAAACGCTGAAAATTTCAGACTTCCCTTATATGTCTCTGAGATAAAAGAAAAAATTTCCTGAAATCGAATGATGCGAAATTTTCAAAAGTTTTTGGCTTAGACCTCTGATCCATAGAGGTAATAGAACCTACTGATTAATGTAACGTTATTAGTTAGATGATTGAAGGTCTTTAATTGCTTCATATCGCCTCGTATATGTCTATTTCTAACGATCTCCACTAATCGATTCAAGAGAAACATTCATTTTTTACTCGTTCATATTGATTTTTTTTTGTCTATTTGATCACAATGACATATGTATACATCAGAGGAGTTATCACAAGTGCAAATGGTACAGAAGAGGAACGCATACAAATTGTCACTGAGAAATATCAGACTCATTGTCATCCATTGCTGCTGAATCTTCTTTTTTATCAGTTTCAATCAATTCTGGCTCAATATTCTTTTCCACAATGACATCGGCTTAGAGGTGTAAGCCGAGGGTCAAAGCGCGGCGACGCCTACTAGGTTTTGTGTTTTCTACGTCGTCGTCGACGGCTTTAAGGATAAATTATTTGTTCCACAGTGGCGGCAGCTGCTAAACTTTATGTTTTTCTGCACCGGCGGTGGCTTTGACAACCAGAAAAAAAAACGTTTTCGCTCCTAAAAGTCGAAAAAATGACCCATTGCAAATGTATCGATGTCAACGGCGGTGGTGCTTCATACTATTATCAAAAATTTTCGTTCGCGTCGGTGGCGCACTGGCCGAGCTAATTTTTCATAGCGGCGATGGCTAAAAAATTCTTAAAATTATCTACGATTTCGTGGCGGCGGCGGCTCAGCTCGGTGGCTTACACCACAACATCGGCTACTTTGAAATATTCTCGACTTTGTATGCATGCTCGATGAAGCTTTGTGCTAAGTCTTCATCAACGGCAGCAATAATAGAGCGCACTATCTTCAACCTGGGAAAGACGAAAATTAACATATCTATTGCGCACGTGTGACTTGAGCTGGGCCCATGTAAGCTCTGTGGGATTGAGTGTACAATGCTTTACCGAAAGTCGCAAGATTTCGACATCGGAGTATGGATGTGAGTGTGGGTATGACTGAGAAAGAGACCAATACCCACACCCACACGCACACCCACATATAAAAATGGTCATTTCTGCCAGAAAAAGAATCATTTGTACAATAGGAGTGGTCATTTGTGCCAAAGGAATGGTCATTTGTATCATAGAAACGGTCATTTGTACCATGGAAATGGCCATTTGTGCCTAGCCCTTGTTACAGATGGACAGACAGACACAGATGAATTACGATTTCTAGACTCTAGCCTTTCAGTCTAGGTAATAAATCCTTTCTATGGAAAGGTAGAACAATAAACCCTTGACCGTAGCATAATAAAGACTTTTCATGAAAGAGTAGAACAATAAACACTTTTTCGCTTGTCATAAACCCTTTTTATTTTTAAATACCCTTTTTCTCGGAAACCCTTTCGCACAAAACCCTTTAAGGGTTTAACACACCAGCATAAACCCTTTTAGGGTTTAGGAAAATTTTCCTTAAGTACTAGGGTTTATTATTCTACGAATATTTTTTTACAGTGCAGAACAGATCTTAATTCAAATCTAACGAAGCTTTGACGAAATCCTCCGTGTGACTTTTGTCAGATTTCTGAATAGGATTGGAAGTGAATTCTTACAGGATCCTGCAATATCAATACAAAACAAAATCCAAACAAGGACTTGAACCGATTCTGGATATAATTCTGAATCAAATCCGACAGGATCCTCAAGATTTATGATTCTTGAAGAACTTTCGTGATTTTTTTCAAGAAACAGACACGACTGAAGAAACTAAGCAGTGTCCTGCAAAGATCTTCGCTAAGTCCTCATATTCTCTTATCAAGATCCTGATTAAAATTGATACTGTCTTGCAAAATGTGGAAACGCATATTCTTGAAGGGTTCTGAATAAGATCCCGATTGAAACCTTGCAGAATTAGTCGACTTCGTACTCTGACTAATCTTGTTATTTTCTCGCTAAGATCCTCATTTGGTGTGAGTGTTAGTCCTGACAGGATGCTGATTCGAAGATTTGATCTAGATCCTGACGAAAACCTGATAAAATCTTGGTAGAATTCTCTCTTATAGTTTTGCGAGGATCATTGATAGAATCTTGAGTAAATCCTGGTAGAATCCTGTATTCTCAACTCAGAAAAAAATCTGAGCAAATACCTGAAGAAATCTTGAACAGGATTCTGTTTCACCTTGAAAAATCCTGGAAACAGGTATTACCAGGATTTGAAACAGGATCCTGAATAAAATTTGATAGGATCCTTGATATTCAGGATCGTGAAAGATCCTTCCAGGGTTTCTCAAGAAATGAGCAGGATTGAGACTAGGGTTGGGTCTAAGCTACAAAACTATGATATAAAATTGGTATCTTTGTGGAGGGGCAGATTTCACCCCTTAATCGGTGGGGTCCTTTCTCTACGTTTTAGCTTGCAAGAAAAACACAATTAACTCATTTTTTATGTAGAATAGGTGGGGATGTGATCCTTCTTCTTTAACAATCCACATTCATACCCTCTATCCATCAGAAAAAATAACTAATGATATAAAAAAAACAAACAAGGGTGACGTGATAGTGAGGGTGTAGGTATGGGTATAGACGAATACAATAGCCATAATCACACCCTCACGGGAAACTGACGAATGTATCAGCTACTATTCAATCCTTTCCCGTTTTCTTTGCCTTCATGAACGCTATTTGTTCATCGATTTCGAAAATGAGAGCGCAATCAAATTGGTAATGCAAAACAATCAACTTTTTCCATGTAAATCAAGTTTCAAATTTCTATAGTTTCAAACTAAATTCAATTGATTGATGACTAATGATAGTTATAAAATTTATTTTGCAACTTAACTTTATTCATAAGCACAACACTTAAAAACCATAGGTGTCACCTTCAGTTAATTGAAAATGCTTAAAAAATAAAGTAGGTGCAAAAAGATGTGGTTGATATAACTATTTATTGTTTTTTTGCAAGCGATATCTCACAAACAAGCACTTTTATCAATCTGATACTTTTGAATACGATGATTGTATTGATCGACAGCGTACAAATTTCCTTCGGTGTCAAACAATAATTCGTATCTGTACGTGTATGGCGCTAATGGAACTGGATTATTTGTGGTTGGCTTGTCTACAATAATAACTATGCCATTATAAGGATCATCTTTTAGCCAACGAGTTATACGCGAGGTGCCATATTCCAGCACGTATGTACTACCCATTTGATCAACTACTACACCGACGGGCGTATGTAATGGAAACCCTCCAACAACACCTGAAGCGACGAGAATTCCTTCTTTAGCACCATGCGGCCATCGTACTACACGGTGATTTCCGGCATCAGCAACATAAACTACTTCATTTTGATCGACAAATATACGAGATGTAGCAGAAAATTGATTGAGACCAGGTCCGGCGCCATTACCACCTGCAACCACTTCATTGCCAGGCCATCTGATAACTTTCTCATCTCCAACTACATATAAGAAACCGTTCTCTGTAAGAAACATTCCAGAACATGAAATATTAAAAATAAACGCTTCTCCTTCATTTGCATCTGGAATCCATCGTCGTACTTGTCTATTTGGCCGATCACAAACAAACATGGTTCCATTTTTGGCAACAACAAACGATGCAACATACTCCAATTGATTTTTTTCTTTTTGTAATTGTTGAGAGCTGGCCACGAGCTCTCCACTTAAAGCACCAGGCCTCCATTTGACAATACGATGATTGTACGAATCAGCAACATATACGATACCATCATGATCCACATACATCCCCATGGGATAAGAAAGTTGATTCATCGCACTACCGATTCCATTACCACCAGCCACGGTAATACTTTCATTATTCCATGTTGCATTCGGACAAATACCATCGTTACGAATAGCTGATTCAGTGATGGAAAAGAAAAGAAACCTACTTATTCCCTAGAGTGTGTATATTACTCACTTGAGTTCAGTGGTGGACATAAGTATTGACTACTCAATTCAAATGGATAGCATACCGGTCGATTATTGCATCGCGAATACATTACACATATATGACCAACTTGACGGCAAGTTCGATTATTACTTTCACAGGGTTGTAACTCAGAACAGATGTCAAGTAGATAAGCACACATACCGCCATTTTTTGTTAGGGTCATAGGGAGACAGCCACATTCAGGATTTGTCGAACATCGACCATATTGATTATTACTTTGGCATGTTTGTCCTTCAACGTTGTGTACTGATGATGATAAAAGATATTTTACATGTATCTCAAACTAATGAAACTTACCAGACGCACTTAAATAAATTAGAATTCTACATAGTATTTAAATAATAAGAGTTTCATAGAGCTACTCACGTGACAAAGCAGATCAATAATACATATGCTGTTTGCATCGCTTTGAATTACAAACTTAATATTTTTTCGTTGAATCAAAATACAATATCTTATCTTGTATCCATTACCTTTTATATACATACTATATTAATCCAAAATAATTGAATAAGAATCAGAACTACGCATGTGTTAATTCTACCAGATGGGGAATATTAAATCGTTCTTCTCGCATATCGGCTCCAAGAAGCCTATACCAAAAAGAAAACAGCTTCCATCTTATTTCATAAGGATCAGCATATGAAATATTATATGTTGACCATCTTCAAGAAAAACAATGGCAGACTTTGATCTGTATTCGTCCTAATCGCACGATTTTTGGAGTAACTGCAGTCAGTTTCTTTCTTACGACAGGTTCGATATGATAAATTAACACGGACTTTTAAAAAATGTATTTTATTCCCTCGACTGTAGGGAGGATCATATGAAAAAAATAGTTGGTCTATGGCTTTGTGTCAAGGTCAAAAAAATACAAGGTCAAAAAAACATCCAAGATGCATTTTCTTATAAAGGTTGACGATAGTAAATCGGGGCCGGAGAATCCGAATCTGAAGTTAGTTTTTCAAAATTTTGAATTGAATTTTTTGGTTCAGGAGAAAAGATTTCTTTGAGAAAATAATTTTTCCTGGATCGTAGGAAGGGTTATATGAAGTAAAATAAATTTTCATCTGTTTTTGTCAGAGTGATAGGTGAGATGTCATAAAAAACGTTGGGTAAGTGTTCGATTCTCGTGCTTTTAATGTTGAACTTTCAACCAATTCGATTTTTCAGACTGAAAAATCAGTCAATCCGACATATGTGATAAGTTCTCTCTTAATCAGCTGTTTCATAACTGGGTGTCCATGGATGAGACTTGTATACTTCTGTCTGATACAGTCGAGGCAGAGATGTCCATCGCGGCTGAGAATTAGCCGCTGCCGCACCGCCGTCGTTTAAAAAACATAGTGCCGCGCCGCGTTTATCAGAAAAACGAAAGCTACCGCACCGCTGCCGCGCCGCGTCCACATTGAAATGTAACGCGCCTCTGCCCCGCCGCGGCGTACTGGAAAAAAATCTGCCGCTGCCGCGCCGCCGCCGCACCACTGCCGCGACAGTACAAAAAATACAGTCTAGAAAATGTGTTCGTCTCTAAAATAAAAAAAATATGTATTATAAAGTTCATGAATTACTGCACCAAATGCAAGGGTGAAAAACAGATCCCGATAGACTCTATGGATCTTGTAGATTTCTAAAGAATATTAATAGAGTGTGTAATAAAATTGTCTGACTCTTCAAAAATCG